CTTCCTCTCATGAGAAAAAGAAAAATGTCATGTGTTTGTGAACCTTTGACTTTAGAGAATGTGAGATCTGGAAGGGACCTCAAATATCATTTAGTCCAATATTTTTCAAATCTCTTTGTGTGATTTGAGGACCCTCCTTGAGACTGCAATAGAAAATCTAGAGTGTCTCTGTCTCCACATGCACCTCTGGTCAGGATTCATGATATACTGTATGCAATTTCAGGGTATTCACAAAATCCCCAAATTCATCCTGCTTAAGAAATCTTTTGTTCATGGAACCAGAAAGATAGTATACAGATTAAGGCACTTGCCTTGCATCCTGCTGATCCTGGATGGTATCTTCAGCACGGCATGCAGAGATGGGGGTGTTGCATTTGAGCAATGAGCCTGGAATAGTTCCTGAACACTACTGTGAGGCCCAAACACCACACCGAACCCCCCTACCTCCCCCCCCCCCAATCTATTCATTTTACTAATGTGAGACTCAGGCTTAGAGAAGTAGAATGGCATAAAACAGAATCATGGAAGTGATTCCCAGCATGTTGAGGCCCGAGTATACGAAGATGAGGCATAGCTGGGAATCAGCCCTGAAGGGCAGAGGCAGACAGCAGGTGATCAGGAAAGCAAGCTGTAAAGTCAACCAGGAACAAGGAGACAGTGGGGAGCAGTGGGCATGGCAGGAGCCCTGTCGTGAATGATCTGAAAATTGGTTTATGGAAAAGGATTTAGACTTTTCTCTTTTGCTTTCAAGAAGTGGCTTGAGACCAAAAAAAAAAAAAAACCAATTTCTGCCACATGGGACAGAACAGTGTCCTGCAGGAAGGACTTGACAAGAGTTTGGACTGGGTGACCCAAACTGATACTGATGTGGAACTTGGAAAGATAAATTAAGTCTTACACATGAGCCAGAAGGAAGGTCAGGTCAGGTCAAGTGTCTTAGAGATGAGGGACGTAAAAAGGAAAGTGAGGAAGAGGTGGCAAGAGGTATCAAGTGGGAGCAGTGGCCGAGTGGTAGCAGGGGAGAGAAATGAGACTTGGAAGACAGGATTAGAAGCGAAAGGTTGAAGGGTTTTATGGCAGCATCGTGACTGACATCCCAGAAGAAGGATGGCCCCTAGAGAGCGGTGATGGTGACGGTGATGCAGAAGACTGAAAGCACAAGGACACAGTGGGCATTTCAAAAGAGAAATAAACAGACTCAATGGTGCAGCGATAACAGGAAATGAGGTGAGAAGAAAGTCAGTGGGGGATTGGAGGGGAGAGCGAAGCTGAGGTGAGGGTGGGGTGGGGTTGTGGTGATGGTGAGAGGCTGTAGGTTTTGCCCAGGTAGTCTGAAGTGACTGTGACAATAGGAAGGGAAACAGCCAGTGATCTATAGTGCTGGCAAATGACAGATGACAGAAGGCCAGCAGAGGAAATGCCCAGAAAGAAAGCCATGGTGACAGGATTAGAGTTCCCTATCCCAGGGCATCAGTATGTGAGGCACATTAAGGAGTTCTCTATAGAGATGAATTATTTTAAACTTAAGAATACAGATTGTATGAGGCCCAAAGTGATAGTACAGCAAGAAGGGCACTTGCCTTGCACACAGCCAAACTGGGTATGATATTCTGCTCCCCATATGGTCCCCTGAGCATCGCCAAGACTGATCGCTGAATTCAGAACCAGGAGTAAGCCTGAACATCACTGGGTGTCTCCCCCCAAACCAAACCAAACCAAACCAAACCAAACCAAACCAAACCAAACCAAATAGATATTTTGTGGGAAAAAAGTAAAGCAAGAATAGAATGAATGGTTTTAGGATTAGCCTCAGTGTGGAGATAGTATACTGTAATTGAAGAATCGGGGAGAAGAATCAGAGTTAGCCATGACCTGAGGTTAGAGGATAAAACTACAGCCCAGGAGAAAAGAAGCTTTAAGGCAGTGGGGAATCAACGTAACCAGGGCCTTATTTTAGTGTGCGTTCAACTGTGGGCTTTGGCAGGTAAATTATAGTAATGTTCATTTTGGCAACAAGGGCCTAGCAGTATGGAGTTATAAAGTGCTTCTAAATGGATTATAGATGTTTCTTAAATAGTATTTTCTAAAAAAAAAAAACCTTAAAAATATAGCCAAAGCTTCATGCTCTCCCAATTTCTCTATCAGTAAAGTAGAAACCACTTTAAGTTTAATAAGTTCCTTTCATGTCCTCACTTTAGGGCAGGTTGTTTTTTGCCATCTTAATGTGCTAAATAGGAAAGATATATTGAGGTAAGATGACAGGGCTGGGACTTCTCCATCAGTGAAACCGTATGGAATTTAACATTCTGGTTTCTGTTCTTCAAAGCAAGAGCCTACACCAGAATTAAACAGTGACTCAAATAGTAAGAAATAACTTTTAAAAATATAAATAAATAAAATCAATTTCTTCTCCATTTCTGTATTTCTCTTGGATATCTAAGTTACCATGATTGTAGGAAGAACTTGAACTCTTAAAGGGAAGCCAGTGATTGAGTAAAGAATCTTGTACTTTTTTTTTTACCTTGGGCAATTTCAAATATCCCACTTAAAAGAATTTTTAAAAATTTATTTCTGAATCTAAGAACAAAGATAACCTATCTTTCATAATAATTAAACTAATTAGGATAACAACTGAATGGTAGGGGAGTTGGACTAAATGTTCCCTAAATCCTTTTGTCATTTTAAACTCTTTTGGACTGGGAGATACAAAAGAGCCACATTATTTATAATCTTCTCTATAAACTTTTGACAAATAGAACAGCCCCATCCCCCTCTGCATTCAGCCTATTGTGTTATATCTAGCCAGCTGAGTATTCTCCATCCCCAGTGATATATTTACTCAATAGTTGGGCAGGCCAAACTCTTGGTCCCAGACAAGCAGCCTATAGGGAGCACCCAGGTAAAGAGAAGAGCAGGCAGAGAACACTCTTAGTGAAAAGCTGGGTTTGCACAGAACTGAAGGGTGCTAAGAAAAAAAATTGGTCTAATTTCTCAGTTTGAACAGATGAGGCTGGAGAGAGAAATGCTGTATTCAATTCAACACAGTAATTGTGGAATGATGAACTTAAACTTTGCCATCTACCACAACCCTTTTGAAAGGAGGCTAACTAAAAAGGTTATGTGACATTTGAGTATTACTAGACTCTTTAGTCAAAATGAAGAGTCAATAGTCTCATTAAGAGAATAGTATTTATCATCTCACAAAAATGGCTTTTCATGCCCTTGATGACTATTTAAAGATCATTATTTATTACATTTAAGCTTTCCTTTGTGGGCAAGATATGAAAGAATTCAGGAGTGGGTAGGATTCACTTTTGGAAATATTCAAGGTAGAGCCAGGAAGTGATCTCTCAAGAAACCATCTGCAGAAACTAACATGTAGTGCAAAGGTATAACTTGCCTTGCACATAATGAAGCCCTGGGTTTGATCTTTGGGAACAAGGGTAAAGGAAATCCACCTGCTACCTGCATCATTATATACACCTTTATGTATGATTGTGTATACATGTATACATGTATACCTACTGGGTGAATCGTGAATGTTTGGCTATGAATACCATACTCTCTTACTATTTAAAATCCACAGAAAAGGTGTCAAAGAAAATGGAAACCAAAAAATAATCTAAAACTGTGGTTTTCAACCTTTGACACTGTGGAGAGGCTCTGCTCTGCAGATGAGCAGTTGAAAATCATTGCTCGACTAGAGTGATAGTAACAGGGCACTTGACTTGCATTAGTCCATCCGGGTTCATTTCTCAGCACTCCATATGGTGCTCTGAGTACTCCCAAGAATGATCCCTGAGCTCTGAAGAGCAAGGAGTAAGCCCTCAGCACTGCTGGGGATGGCCCAAAACAAACAAACAAACAAAAAAAAACAACAACCATAAAACCAAAAATAGTACTGCTCAAAAAAAATCTATCATTTATAGTAAAATAATAACATACAATAGGTATATTTTGTACACTGTTGTATATTTTGTACATTGTTTCATATTTTGTATATTAAAAAAAGCGTCAGGTCCTTGATACTAGGACTTGTTGGGTTCTTTTTGGGGAGGGGTGGAGGGGAGGGGGGCACATATCTGGGGACGCTTAGGCCTTATTCCTGGCTTTGCACTTAGGAATTACTCCTGGCAGTTCTCAGGGAACCATATTGGATTCTGGGTATTGAGTCTGGGTCCGCTGCATGCAAGGCAAGTTCCCTATTTGCAATGCTATCTCTCTGGCCCTTAGGACTTTGCTTAGGTCACTACCTTTTCCACAGGATCTGTCAAGGGTTTTGTATAGTAAGAATCCCCTCTGCGTCCCCTCCCCCCCATTTCCTACCACAAAAAGAATAATTTCTTTTGAATAGGTTACTTAATTGTACAAACTTGTTAATGAACAGACAGGGAAGACTGAGTTATTTCTATAACTTAATTGCTTAAATAAGATCAAAACTACATCAGTTCTGGAGAGATAGTACAGGAGTTAAGGTGCCTACCTTTCATGTGACCGACCCTGGGTTCAAATCCTGTACTGTCTGTGGTCCCTCAACACTGCCAGAAGTGATCCCTGAGTGCAAAGCCAGACTAAGTCCTGAGTACTGCCACATGAAGACCGAAAGCCAAAATGACAACACACACACAAACTACATTTAGATGACTAAATCATGTGGGTTAGAGAATGAGGTTAAGTTTCTTGGGAAGGGTAGGAAAAGTGAGAAAATTAGCTATGTCTTTGCAGCTTACTATAGTACCAACCCAGTCTACCTCCTACCATGAATGGATGGGACTGGGCTAGTCCCTGTGTTGGAACCCAGGAGAGAGCGTCAAGTAGAGAAGAGACTTCCCTTTATCCTTCATGGCAGTTATCAGACCTGCCAAAGGGCAAAGGGGACATGGGGCTAGGGATCGAAAGGGCTGCAGACCTCTTCCCAATCCTTCTTCTAGCACACAGGCCCCATCCCAACCCAACCCAACTTGGACGCGTGAGATCCAAGTTCCGTGGAGCGCGCTTACTTGGCGGCAGCGTCTTTGCGCAGCTGTTCGTGCTTCATGAGGAGGTTTTTTCGGTCTCGGAAAGCTTTGCGGACTTTGTAGCCTTTGTAGACGGCTTGGATTTTGAAGGCTGCGATGTCTTGGATGGCCGCGATGGACAGCGCCCCATGCTCCAACATGAACTGGATCACTTCATGGCGCTCACCAAGCAAAGCGTAATCCAGGGGAGTGTACCTGAAGCGGGAAGATTTTATTTATTTATTTATTTTTATGCGCTGGAACCGCTAAATTGGAAAGATTATGCAGTAGAAGAAAACCTCCTCCTTAGATGTACAATATTCCTCAGGTAAGGTTACCTCCCTTTTTTTTCTTTGAGGGTTACAAACGGAGGCGAGGCTGGCTTCAGATGCTTTGCCCATGACAATCCCCATATTTTCGTCACTGGCTCACACTGTCTACTCACACTGTCACACCTTTCTACTCCCCCAAGTGTCAAACAATTCCTTGCTCCTGTCTGAAAAAGTAATGCAAGTAATATTTGGTGAGATTCATATATTTGAATCCAAAATTACTAGTGGTTAGTGCTGATGAACTTAAACGTACACCTTCAAAATGAGCAATTTCCTTTATGATATATAGCCCCAAAGTTCTCATACTTATTTTGCCTACTGTCTCCTTTCTAGAAAAAAAAATCATTCAATGTTCTCCTAGGAATTTACCTTCATTAAGTAGAATGCAGTCCCCCACCCCGGGAACTGCACCCGGGCTACTGCCCCCACAGCTGCTATTACTGTTAGCACTATTATAGGACAATAATTATTTCATACATTGGAGCACATCATGGTCACTTGTCATAAACATTTGCTCTCTAGGACTCAATTAGTACTTGTGATAACTTAGTGGCTAGTGCTGATCTGATTCCTCTAGGAGGTTAATCCAATTCAAGCAGATCAGTGGAGGTACTAATCAGGTGATTTATGAGGTTAAAAAAATGATGATTATGAATGCATGTTGAGGCATATAATATCCACTGAATACAGAAAAGAAGTGATCTCTCTTCAGTATTCATAGTGACAGTCACAGTAAACTGTAAATAGAAGAGATTTTCAGTATAAGCAAAATGTGGTTTGGTGGTCACGGTAAGGAAATTTCAAAAGGAAATCCTGTAAAGTCAAAATTAAAGAACTCCCATTTGAAGTTAGCTAGCCTAATTGGCCATTACTAGTTGGGAGTCAAAAGTCCACAAGTAGAGGTTCCAACATAAACTTTAATACATTGTTTAAAAGTAGATAGCAATTCTTAAATTCAGAAAGAAAATCTTTTCAATTTTTCATTATATTACATATTTTAAATTACCTTTCACAACTATTTCCCTGAGAAGAGCAATTTAGGAATCACAAAGGCACACAATAATAAAGCTTAACTTGATTTTAGAAGTTATTTAGTTTAAAATCTACTTAACTAATGAATAAATACACACAGCAACTTGTTGAAGGTGATGTAATCAGTTATCTGCAGAACCTAGACTGGAATTGAATACCTCAACATCAGACCAGAAACCATAAGGTACATTGAAGACAAAGTTGGAAAAACCCTCCATGACATTGAAGCTAATGGTATCTTCAAAGATGCCACTCCACTGGCCGAGCAAGTGAAAACAGAGATAGATAAATGGGACTATCTTAAACTAAGAGGCTTCTGCACGTCAAAAGAAACAGTGACCAAAATACAAAGACAGTCTACAGAATGGGAAAGGATATTCGCCGAACACACATCTGACATGGGGTTGATATCAAGGATATACAAAATACTGGTTAAACTCCACAAGAAGAAAACATCCAACTCCATCAAAAAATGGGGCAATGAAATGAACAGAAACTTTCTCAAAGAAGAAATCCAAACCTGTTATTCAATAATCCTCCCACTAAGTATCTGTCGATTTTATTTTGTTTTTCAAGCCACACCTTCTGTGCACAGGACTTACTTCTGACTCCTTGCTCGGGAATCACTCATGGTGGTGCCTAATGGTGTCCAAGTGGATCATGGTAAACACCTTACCTGCTATACTATCTCTCTGGCCCACAAGTGTCAGTCAGTTGTCAAATTAAAACCTCCTGCAGGGGGCTGGAGAGATAGCACAGTGGGTAGGGCGTTTGCCTTGCACGCGGCCGACCTGAGTTTGATTCACAGCATCCCATATGGTACCCTGAACAACGCCAAGAGTAACTCCTGAGTGCAGAGCAAGGAGTAACCCCTGTGCATTGTCAGGTGTGACCCAAAAAGGAAAAATAATAAAACCTCCTGCAGGATGAAACTGCTTCTACAACCAACATGCAAACAGCTATTCAGAAAGTTATATTTTTTTCAATAATTATTAATCTATAGTTATATAAACTGTGGTTTTCTATAGAGTCATATTGTCTACAAACCGAGTCACAAAAACAGTTTTATGAAAGTAAGGCCCTTACTATGTTCATAACTTACAAGTATGACAAGAGGAAATCACATAGAACAAAATGGAACTTGAAGAATGCTGAGCTGGCAATCAGGAGAACTATATGACCCTGCTCCTTCTCTTCACTTCTCTGAGCTTCTGTTCCCTCATTTGCAAAAGGCGAAAGGAAAGAGGGAAGAACTAGAGTTCTCACACTATTTGTAGGAAAAATTGCATTTCAAACTTTAAAGATAGTTAACATTGTCAAAATGGCAACACTACCAAAAGCATTGTATAAATTCAATGCAATCCCTATAAGGATACCCATGACATTCTTCAAAGAAATGGAGCAAACACACCTGAAATTTATATGGAATAATAAGCCCCCACGAATAGCTAAAGCAATTCTTGGGAAAAAGAAAATGGGAGGAATCAACCTCCCTAATTTCAAACTGTATTACAAAGCAGTAATAATTAAAACAGCATGGTACTGGAACAAACGCAGAGCTGCAGACCAATGGAACAGGGTTGAATACACTGACATCTCCCCTCAATCATATGATCATCTAAACTTTGATAAAGGTGCAAGTAATGTGAAGTGGAGTAAGGAAAGTCTCTTTAACAAATTGTGCTGGCATCACTGGACGGCTACATGCAAAAAAGTGGGCTCAGAACTCTGCCTAACACCATGTACAAAAGTAAGATCAAAATGGATTAAATACCTCAACATCAGACCAGAAACCATAAGGTACATTGAAGACAAAGTTGGAAAAACCCTCCATGACATTGAAGCTAATGGTATCTTCAAAGATGCCACTCCACTGGCTGAGCAAGTGAAAACAGAGATAGATAAATGGGACTATCTTAAACTAAGAGGCTTCTGCACGTCAAAAGAAACAGTGACCAAAATACAAAGACAGTCTACAGAATGGGAAAGGATATTCGCCGAACACACATCTGACATGGGGTTGATATCAAGGATATACAAAATACTGGTTAAACTCCACAAGAAGAAAACATCCAACTCCATCAAAAAATGGGGCAATGAAATGAACAGAAACTTTCTCAAAGAAGAAATCCAAATGGCAAAAAAGCACATGAGAAAATGCTCTACATCATTAATTATCAGGGAGATGCAGATCAAAACCACAATGAGATACCATCTCACACCTCAGAGACTGGCCCACATCCAAAAGAACTGATGCTGGTGCGGATGTGGCGAGAAAGGGACACTGTTTCATTGTTGGTGGGAATGTCGACTGGTTCAGCCTTTCTGGAAAACAGTATGAACGATTCTCAAAAAATTAGAAATTGAGCTCCCATTTGACCCAGCAATACCACTCCTGGGAATATATCCCAGAGAGGCAAAAATGTATAGTCGAAGTGATATCTGCACTTGTTTGTTCATTGCAGCACTCTTTACAATAGCCGGAAACTGGAAGAAACCTGAATGCCCAAGAACAGATGACTGGTTAAAGAAACTTTGGTACATCTACACAATGGAGTACTATGTAGCTGTTAGAAAAGATGAAGTCATGAAATTTATATACAAGTGGTACAACATGGAAAGTATCATGCTAAGCGAAATGAGTCAGAAAGAGAGGGATAGACATAGAAAGATTGCATTCATCTAGGGAATATAAAGAAACAAAATATGAGATTAATACCCAAGAATAGCTGAGATCAATACCAGGAGGATTACTCCATAGCTTAGAGGCCAGCTGGGCATTCTAGGGGAAAGGGCAGCTCAGATAGAGAAGGGAGCACCAAATAAAGGGTGTTTGGAGGATCCTCCCAGGAGGGGAGATGCATGTTGAAAGTAGACTATGGACTGAACATGTTTGCCACTCAAAAAAAAAAACAAACTTTAAAGATAGTTTGTTATAAAATGTACTCTTAATTTGAGCAATGTCAAGCATAAATAAGAGTAAAAACATTAAAAATAGTAAAATGGTATAATAATCCTTTATAAAGTAGCACTGTAGCACTGCCCTCCTGTTGTTCATTGATTTGCTCAAGTGGGCACCAGTAATGTCTCCATTGTGAGACTTGTTGTTACTGTTTTTGGCATATCAAATACGCCATGGGGAGCTTGCCAGGCTCTGCCGTGCGGGTGGAATACTCTCGGTAGCTTTTCGGGCTCTCCGAGAAGGATGAAGGAATCAAGACCAGGTCGGCCGTAAAGGTAAAGGTAAAGGCCCTCCCGTTGATCATCGATTTGCTCGAGCGGGCCCAGTAACGTCTCCATTGGAGACTTTGTTGTTACTGTGTCTGGCATATCGAATACTCTCGGTAGCTTGCCGGGCTCTCCGAGAGGGGCAGAGGAATCGAACTCGGGTCGGCCTTGTTGGCTGCGTGCAAAGCAAACGCCCTACCCGCGTTTATAAAGTCATTACTCGATACAGCCAAAGAGAAGGGCCACATGGAGGGCGGGATCCACAGCTCCCAAAGGAAAAAAAAAAGGTTCCAAAAAGAGCCGAGATCATCGGGAAGTCCCAGATGGGGTAGGTACCGCATCCCGCCTCCCCCAGATGGAACCCCGGTGACCAGAAGCCTCTACAAGCACAGCTCAAGTATGCGGGAACTAGGACTTTTCCTCCAAACCGTGTGGCCGCTTAAGTGGCCACGCCACACCTCTCTATATACAAAGTGATCCATGGGAAGTAAACCACCCAACCTTTCTCCCTGAAAATCAGAGTTAAGTTTGGAGCACGGCCACAGCCCCAGAAACACAAGGACTTAATGCAGAACCCAGCAGCTTGGAGCAGAAAAGTGAACGGACTATGCGTTAATCCAGGCC